TATATATTTTTTAATTTTGGAAGGTAAGTTTGAAAATATCAATGTTTGATGTTAAGTAACTTGAAGAGCTTTTTAAAAAGAATCTTTAAAATGCACGTATAGTAAGTTGTTGCCAGCACAGCATTGGAGATGACTTAATTTTTTTCTCTTTTTTCCGCAGCTGTGATTGGGTTATTATACCCCTGCATTGACAAGCATCTGGGAGAGCCACATAAATTCAAAAGAGAGTGGTCCAGTGTAATGCGGTGTGTAGCTGTCTTTGTTGGTATAAATCACGCCAGCGCTGTATCCTTTACGCTGTAATGAAATGCATAATAACGAAGCAGCTTCTAGCCAACCAAAGGTTAAATGGCCCCTTGCAAGTTCTCTGTTGTCAACTGTGATATGCCCACTTAGTCATAAAAAGAACGTGAATGGTATTGTTGAAACATCACTGGAGTAGGTACGTGATTGTAGTTTGAAGTGTTTAAGTTTTCAATGAAATCCCTGTTTTTGATATCACTTAGAAATGGCACATTTTTAAAATGTACCCGTTTGCCTTAAACTGGGTTACTTAATCACTTGCATATCGTTTTGGTAATTCTACGATTGGAGCAGGTATGCTTTCAAAGGCTTTTCTGTCTCCCTTTAAGAGTTGGTAATAGGTGGTGACTTCAGGGGCTAGGTTTTTTGTTTGTTTTGTTTTTTAATTTAAAGAAGTTTTTTTTTTAAAGGCAGACTGTCATGTATTGGTTTTAATCAATACCAGTAAACCACATAAATGTTCTTAAAGGCATTAGGAGAAATATCCAACTTAGAACTTGGCCAAAGAAGAACATAGTTCCTCCCCACCCCATATTTTTAAAGTTTGATTGTTTGAAGATTCTGGTCATTTTATTTGGTAATTAATGAATATTTTTATAGTGTGCTCGCTTGAAGGCTAAGGTAGTCTCTATTTCCTTTCTCCCCTCTGTCTTCTCCCCCGAGAAAAAACTCGCACCCCTAGAATAAAAGTTTTGCCTTCATAAGGTTTTTATCCTGTCACCCTCCCCAGCTTTCCCCTGCCCCAGCCTCTGCCCACTCCCCTCTGTAGAAGAGGATCTGGGAAATGCTGGTCGAGGCTTCTCTTCTCTGGCAGCTGTGGCTGAGACAGTGCAGTGACGGGAGTCTGGTACTGGGAAGAACAGGCGTGTGCCTCAGGCTGCACAGGTTTGCCCCTGGAACCGCGCTGGGCTGAGGGCTGGCACCTAGCTGGACAGAGAGGGTGGGTCGTGTGTCTTTTAGCAAAAGGGCTGAGGTGTTTTGGAGAAGCGAGGAAACAGACACCACAGAAAGAGGCAAGGTCCTAGATTCTGAAAACACACTTGACTTCCTGTGTCCCAGTTGTGCTGGCCCGCGGAGGTCTGTGAATTTGGAAGTTCCTCAGTGGCTGTTATTTTGGGTTCCCATTTCAGGTTTACCTTTTGTATTAAAGAAATGTTTATTTTGGTGAAATATTTGAGATTTATGATTTTATATTAAAAAGTCTAGTGGTTTGCAAAGATAGACTCATAGAATGTTATATCTAGAAGAGAATTTAGAAATCAACTAGTTCAGTATTTTCTTTATAAAGGTAATAAGATAATGGAAAACTGGAGAGGTTAGGTAATTAACGAAGTCGCTCATACTGCGCAGCTGTGGCAGAGCTGAGATCGGACCCCGGGGATCCTGACTCCAGTCTAGAGACATCTCATTCTCCAACCCTAGGGCCCTTCAAGTGTGAGAATTCCTTTCTATCTGTTGGAATTAGACCTTTCCATCCCAGGCATTTCTGCTGTGATTTCTGTTTTTAAGTAGAGAAGTTTAAATACGCTTTTCTGGAATTTTTAAGACTGGTATTTCTAATTTAAGTTTTTTGCTTTGATCACGCTTTTCTTTCTCTCTAAATAACATACTTAAAGATATCGATCTTAGCTGCCCCATCCTTTAGCAAAACCCAAAACCTTAACAAAATCTGTAACATCTGCTTTTAATATTATGTTACTTAGACTTTAGAAAATCACATAGTACTGCTTTGAAGGTTGATGTATTTTACCTGTTTTCCCTGGAAGCCTGTTTATTTTGTTTTGAATCTTAATGAAGTTAATTTATGAGTAAAAGATGAAACCTAGTTAATACCAATTTTACTCTTCATAAGAATGTTTATTGAATAGGGAAAATCAGAGCTCATAGTCTTTTCTTTGGTGTTTTAGGGATAATGCTAGCAGAAAAAAATAAGAGAAGCCTTCCTGTAAAGCATGCCCATAAACTGTAGGTTTTTGCATAGCTTAAGCCTAAACAGGGGGTACTGTTGAGGGAGTGGCCCCCAAAAGCCCTCAGATGCTGAGTGTAAGCAAGCTGAGTGTCCAGGATGCTGGCTGGTGTGGTGGGCATGGGGATGGTGGCAGGAAACAGTGGGGTGTTTAAAAGGAAGTGGCTAATGGCTTCATGTACATTTTGGGGACTTCTGATCTCTGAGGTCGTGAAATGGCCAGCTAGCTTGGTGAGATACCTTTTAGCCCCTAGGGAGCTGGTTATAACTGAAGAGCCAAGACGTGGCCTTTGGGACGTAGATAATGCTCTTTTAATGACACTTGAAATTAATTCCTTTAGTATAATCCTCTAGCAAAGAACTGAGAAAACTGAATCTGTAAAGCTTCGTTTTGCCCAGAGATTTTGGAGTAGAAAAGAGCCATACATTTGTGAATGGATTTTTGAGTAAATGATGGAAATAAAATATCGTTTGAGCAAACTGTCCTATACCAGCAAAGTCTCAGGCACCACAATAGCTTGGCAGGTTGCAAGATAATGTTCACCTCAAGGCTTTATCCTCAACAAATTAAAACTACAACAGTTGACATAATAGAAAGGGATACTGTGTCCTTGGTCCTCTTGTTTCTGAACTGCATTATTATAAAATGTGTCTGTCAGTAAATCACATAGAGAACGTGGTATCCTGTTAAATAGCTGTCAACTCTTCTATTTTCAAGTTCCCATATGATTCTCAAGTAATTCTAAACCTGTTTGAGAAGTAATATCAGTGTCCTTTTTAGAAGAAGTGTGTTCCTTTAGCCATACTTGTGTTTTGAGGCGTCTACTTACATTTTTAGCAAAGAAAGCATTTGTTAAATAAGGGGCCTGATGTTATAATTGGGATTGTGTACAGACCGTTATTTTTTTGGAGGGGCTGCAGGTCCGTCGGGTCTGTTAATGAAGTATCGTGCCCTGTGTGTATTTAGTAAATTCCAGAGACAGTTTTAATCCCACCTAAGTGGTATACTGTATTAAAAGACTGAATGCACTCTAGAATTAACAGTTAATTCCCTTCTCAGCAGTAACATCTCTTATGTTAGGACAGTGACGAGCTGACAGTATTTGGTGACAGGTTTTGTGATGACTCCTTAACGCTGACCTCAGAAGGTGGATTTTGATAACAACATACAGCTGTCTCTCACACTGGCTGCACTGTCCATTGGCCTGTGGTGGACGTTCGACAGGTCTAGAAGTGGGTTTGGCCTTGGAGTGGGAATTGCTTTCTTGGCAACCCTGGTCACTCAGCTGCTCGTCTACAATGGTGTTTACCAGTAAGTCTGTTCTTTCGGTGCTTGTTTGCTAGATGGGTAAATGATAACTGAAGTCAGAGTTGAGATTTTGAAATTAGCCGGTTTAATCTATAGAGTAACTTGTTTTCATTGTGATTATCTTAGAACATGTCATTGTACTTCCTTTGGGGGTTGTTAAAAATCTTTCTATCATTCTAGATACACATCTCCAGATTTTCTCTATGTACGTTCTTGGTTACCCTGTATTTTTTTTGCTGGAGGCATAACAATGGGAAACATTGGTCGGCAGCTGGCACTGGTAAGCCATGTTTGTTTAATCACTTTTCTGTTACAGAGTTGTATGACAAGTGTCTTAGTCATCTAGTGCTGCTATAACAGAAATACCTCAAGTAGATGGCTTTAACAAAGAGAAGTTTATTCTCTCACAGTCCAGTAGGCTACAAGTCCAGATTCAGGGCATCAGCTCCAGGAGAAGGCTTTCTCTCTCTGTCGGCTCTGGAGGAAGGTCCTTGTGATGCATCGGTCTTCCCTTGGTCTGGGGGCATCTCAGCGCAGGAACCTCCGGTCCAATGAACGTGCTCTGCTCCCGGCACTGCTTTCTTGGTGGTGGGAGGTTCCCATGTGTCTCTGCTCGCTTCTCTCTTTTCTATCTCAAAAGAGATTGGCTTAAGACATACCCAGCCTTGTATACCTCATCAGTATAACTGCCGCTGATCCATTTTATTAGATCATAGTGATTGAATTTACAACACATAAGGAAATCACATCACGTTACAAAATGGTGCACAATTATACAATACTGGGAATCATGACCCAGCCAAATTGACAGATATTTTTGGGGGACACAATTCAATCCATGATAGGTTTTCTCTAAATGATGTTACTTCTTTGAGGGAAAGCAATTCGTGAAGACGCCGTTCTTTGATTTCTCTTTGCAATTCCGTTGAAATAAATCATTTGGAAGAATTTCATCGCAGGAGTATTAAAAGTTGAAGGAGCCACTGGACGGAAAAGCCAGAATGTGTTACACGTATGGTGATAGGATTTATCGGCCAGACTGGGGTATTAGAACTTCTGTTTCAACTCTGTCAAAAAGGGACACTAGTAAAAGTGAGAAAGGGCGTGACTAGTGATTATGCTGCTACAATAGGTGTAAATTAGGGTCGCCTCCAGCAAGTCAAGACGTTTGATCATTTTAGTAATAAAGGAAAAGAACGTTGTTGATAACCCCAGTCATAGGTGACAAAGATCAAGGAGTAACATTTAGAGGCCACAGAAGTTTCCTGACTAAGCAGTTTGCCATTTTAGCCTTGAGGCATTGGTGGTTCAGTGGTAGAGTTCTTGCCTTCCATGGGGGAGACCTGGGTTCGATTCCAGCCACTGCACCTCATTTGCAGCCACCACCCAACTGTCCCGGGAGGTTTGTGTGTTGCTGTGATGCTAAACAGATTTCAGCAGAGCGTCTAGACTAAGACAGACTAGGAAGAAAGGTCTGGTGATCTACTTCTGAAAATCAGCCAACGTGAACCTTGTGGATCACAACGGTCCATTGCGGTTGTGCACGGATCACCACGGGTGGGGGGCCGACTTGATGGTGTCCGACAGCAGCAGCCACCACCATTTCAGCCAGCCGGGAGAATGAGGTGTTTACTGTCTTTCTGATAGTCTAGCTATCCAATTATCCTAAGCCAGGTGGTCTCTTTTATTCTGAATTGTGGGTGTACATCTTTATAGCTGTGCTTTTAAAATATTCTGGACTAGAAGCTTTTTCCCATAATAAGTGTCTTTTTGGTTTATATCTTAAAGTGATTTTAAAAAAAAATCTGAACTTACTACCTCAGTCCTGTCTTTAAGTTCATGACCTTTCCTTTGCTGATTTGCCTTTTACGGAGGACTCAGAGAAGCCTGCCTTTCTCTCCTTTTCTGCTCCTACGCTAGTGTTGACGTAAATCAGTCTACTATCATCTGCTCGTCACGCGGAAACCTTGTCTTCCTCCTGCCTTTGGCTGTGCGCCTTTCCCTCCTAGAATGCGTATTTCTCATTTTCCTTATCAGTTTGTCATTTAATCGTAATAATTGTACAATTCTCAGATTCTTTGAGGACTAAAGCAGGCATGTATTAATAAAGTATAAATTTGATAGCCTTTTAGTTTATTTGGGAATTGCTATTCAAAAGAAATCTTAATCTGTTAACCTTTTAATTTTTGCAGTATGAATGTAAAGTCATCGCAGAAAAATCTCATCAGGAATGAAGAATGCAAAAATATATCTTTTGAACAGAAAACGAGATGAACAGGGCATGTAAACGATACGTACACCAACAGACTTTGGACTGTAAAATTGCCAGGATGCGGTTTTCCCCTCTATTGATATATATATATATACACAGATATATATATATAAGTATATTACTGCAATCTGTGATTGCTTCATCTGTAAATCAGTTATAAACCTTTATCTATTTGAATTAAATAACTGTAAAATACATATGCACTACATTAAAAAACATGTTGATTAGTAGATGAAATTGTTAAATTAATTTTTTAAACATACTGTACATTGTATCTCCCTGTTGATGTGCCAAAATGTCCTGTTAGTGTCAGGCAGAGCATAGGAGGCTTTGAGTCATCTATAAATGTAGGGAACTGAGAGGAAACCCCCCAAAACAAACGGGAAGCTAGTATTTTTTCTTTCACTTACTGCTGTGCCTTTTTGTTTTTCTAATTACAGTAGCATGAGCTGTGGGTCCCCTGATGTGTGGGTAATTTGTATTTTTGTGTTGTTTTCAGGGAGCTGTGGGTCTTTTAATATTTGATGAGAATGAGCTTCTGTAGAATGTTTTCAAACCTGCATTATTGGAGAGAGTCCACACGGTAATTTTCTGTTTAGGCAGATTCTTTTGGAGGTGCCCGTGATGCCCAGGAGAAGTTATCAGCAGTAGGTTATTTTGAGTCTAAGTCTGGAAAAGTATATAGAGATTATCTAAAAGTAAAGGTCGTCAGAGAACTAGGATACATGCAGATTTTGGCAGTACAAAAGACCTTCTGCAGTGCCACAAAGTGTAAAGTGATATTAGCTGTTACTTGCAACCCCGTATCCCAGTGCTTTTGCGCATGGAACAGATGAGAATTCCCAAACAGATCAAAATAAAGTTTCTAGGTCTCTCGGGTTCTCTTACTGTGTGGCAGCAAATCACGTTAGCTGGGTTGAGGTCATGTGATTTCTTGTCAGTGAAATGCCTAGATTTGCAACCTTACATGCATCCTGGGGAACCGATGGGTGCATAATCCTGTATTTCTGTTCTCATTAGTGAATAGTTCAAGACTGTTTAAGAATGTATTGGGATGGTATTCTCTGCATGTGGAAGATCTTGATAACAGTTATGTGCATGTCTTCAACGATTAGAGACATTTAAGTGTGGCTTAAACATATTCTTAGCTAACTTCTTTTTTCCCCAATTTTTATTTTTTAAATTGATGGCAATTGTCTGATACACAAGGGCAAATTTTTCTGAAAACTTTCGGGTGTGTGTGTGTGTTTGGAGTGAGAGAGAATGTGTGTGTATATATGTGTAACCATACTCTCCTGGAATGTCCAGTAGATTGTTTTAGTTTTTGGTTTTAAAAACATTGCTATCAGATTAAGACCATCTATGCCAAACCTGAATTTGCTTTTATACATTAAGGCTGAAATTGTGAAAATTCAAGAAGGATTTCATATTGAATATATGTACACAGCCTCAGCTATAGTGGTGTAAACATACTCCTGTAATTTATTATTCTATCTTCCAGATAATGTTATTCATTTAGAACAAATAAGGTATATTTTCACAATCAACTTTGTAATTACTATAAAATCTTTAAGAAGTTATAAGGACTATGATGTATTTGCTTTGAAAATTGCTGTTAAAAGCAAGACGTGTATTAAATATATGATTATCATCTTGGTTAAGAGTCTTTTTTTCTTCCTTGTGGTGAGTCTTAGAATTTATTGTTGTGGATTAATTTCATAAAATTAACGTGTGCGGTTGAACTTACCAAGAAAGGACAAAAGGAAAGTAAGTGTAGCCTTGGGGAGATTGAAACAATTGTCACTGGCATTCTTAAATTATGTTTACTTTACACAGAAATAAGAAAAGACAAGAATTATGGCAAAAAAATAGTTTTGACATTCTGATAAATATATAAAGATAATACTTATTTTTTGCAGTGAAGGAAAGCGATGGAATGTTTTAATATCACTATATTGGCAGGGCTTCTGTGCTTGTATTATTTAAAGTTATAGAAATGGGGCAGTTGACAGCTGAGTCTAAATTCTACAAAAGCACAAGAAAACAATTAAACTTAACTAGCCAGAGCCCTGTTATGCTTACGTTTTAAAAGTTATTTATTTCTTTTGCATTTGCACCATTTTGCTTCCGTTAAGGCCATTGGAACGTCTCAGTGGTCCATACATTTCACACATCTTGTGTTTTCTAGGAGGCATTCAGACTTGGTCAGTATCATTACCTACCTCTGTCCCGCTCTTGGCTCATTTTTCTTCTTGATAAAGTATCTTCTTCGTAAGGTAGTTCTTCCAGTGATGGTCTGTGAATAGTAGCGTCTTAGCTTGTGTCTGAAAAAGTCGATTTCGTTCTTGAAGAATGATTGAGCACGCCATAGAAATCAGGGTTCACAAGTTTTGGGTTATCTTTTATTCAGCACTTTGAAGATGTTAACTCATAGTCTGTAAGTCTGCTATCCGGGTGACTTCCTGTCCTTGGGAGGCACTTTGTCTCGTCACATTGGGAACCTTTAAATGAGCTTCTCTTTATCCTCCAGGCTTTTCAGTTTCACGTCGATTTGTGTAGTTGTAGATTTGTTTTTCTTTTTCTTGGCTGGTATCAGATACAGACTTTCAATTTGTGGGCTCATGTCTTTAATTTTGGAAGATTCTTGAATATGGCTGCATATAGGAATCACATGGGATCTGTGAAAACAGCTGATGTCTGGCTCCCATCCCCCTAGACTATGACGTGATTGGTCTGGGTTGTGCCCTGGGCATAAGGATTTGTAAAGTTCTCTAGGTGATTCTAACATGCAGCCAGATGGGCACTCACTGGTGTAAGAAAAGGGAGGGGGTCGGGTTGAGAGAAATGAGTTGGGTAATGGCATTGGAAATGAAGAGTGAGGAGGGAACACACTAAGATACATTTTGGAGTAAAATCATCGGAACTTTGTGACTTGGGTGTGAAGGTTAAGGAAGAGGAGCAGTCAAAAGTGAATTTTTCTATCTTGCTCAGCTAGGTGGGTGAGATTTGCATTAACGAAGAGAAAGATGTCGAGAAGCAGGTGAACGGGAGTTTGGTTTGAACATACGGTGAGGTTGAGGTGTGGTAGGGGACATGTGGTAAAGCTGACTCATTAGCAGTTGGATTTTGGAGTCTAGATAACTGGATGAGAGTCAGGGAGTCAGCATGTGGCAGTAATAAAGCTGCAAAAGTCGATGCGATCCCCCAGGGAGCATGTTGGCAGAGAAGCTGGGGAAGGAGGCAACGGTGTGGTCGAGAGTGGGAGGAAAACCAGAAGAGAGGATGGTAATGGATGAAGTCAAGGTAGGCAGCAGCTTCAGGCAGAGGGTAACTGGCACTGTGAAGTGTAGTTGGAAGGACTGATTAATTTTAAAGATGGAGAAGAAGATGATTTTTTATTGTTTTATGTTGAAAGTGCTTTTCTAACGTGTTATATTTTGACATTATATAATAAAATAATTCACAAAATATATGTATGAAAAACCTGATCATATACTGTGTCGTTTATTGGGAATGAGGGAAGCTGAGGGTAGCCTGAGAACTTTGAAAGAGTGGTGGAGATTTGGACATCTGTGAAGCATGGGCACAGGAACTGACCAGAGATAAAGACTTGCCAGTGAGTTTTGAGGCCTTTGAGGATGCGGTTGAGGCTGGGGATCAGATATTTGCAGTGGAGTCAATCAGCATGGCTCCATGAATGTGATTTTCCCTAAGTGGGCTCAGGAGCCCAGAGTTTAGACCAGCCATGATGGAGTAGATTGATTCAAGTTGAGAATTAGTTGGTAGGCATGGCATAAAGATATATGAGAAGTTAATTGAGGGTCCTAACGAACGTTCAAGAGATTTATCACAGGGTCCAGGCAAATTGGGAAAGGAAGTTTAATCCACAGTGCTGACTTGACAGCATGAGAGAACAGGGTGAGGTCAAAGCACTGCAGGTCTTAAGGAGGTTCAGAAACATGTTTAATGGAGAGGGTGATAGACTTGGGGTTTGTAGTCAGAGAGGAATTTAAGCGGAGGGTCCAGGGTGTGATCCAAACAACCACGTTTGCATGGTTCACTGAAGTGGGCCGAGATGAGCAGCAGCGGAGTAGAGGTCCAAGGCCTGGGTGACCAGATGTTAACATCAATATTGATGTTACCTGGAATGATCTTGGAGGTCAGGTGGGAAGGAAGCCTGTTATCTGCTTCTTGTGACCAGCGGCCACTTGCGTGATATGCTTATCCGATGTCTGGATTGTACTAGGATTTTATTTAGAGTCTGCCCTCCTCATCCCCCACTTTTTTAGGTTTTTTCTCATCATTGTAGGTGTTCTGAAATTTCGCTACAATATGTTTAGGAGTGGGTGTTGTTTTTTCTATTAGCCCTGTTCAATCAGAGAAATCATCTCGTTAATTCTGGGAAACGTTCTGCGATTGCTTAGTGTTCCTTCTAAAACTCCTCTGTTCAAAAGATCTTCGACCTTCTGATTCTGTTTTCAACAGATCCGTTAGCTTTTCTCTCTCTGTTAGGCTACATCCAAGGATTAACTGGATCTTCTGACTCGGTGAGTTGCCGTGCAGCTTATCCATTCAGCCTTCAGCCCATCAATTCAGTTTTGAATTTTAGTTACCACAGATTCGATTTTCAAGATCTCTAATTTTTTATGGAAGTGTATTGACATTCTTGTATTTTTTAGGGCTATCACTCTTCTTCAAACTCTTTCAGTTTGCTCCATTAAATGTTTGCGTGAGTAGAAGTTCTTCCATTTGTTAAATGTAGTGATTCTTTTTAATGTATTGGCTTTTCTCAAGCATTTTGTGAATTTGTGTGTGTGTGTGTGTGTGTGTGTGAGTGATTCCCCACAGCCCCCTCTGTGAGAACTGTGTCTCTTCCCACAGCTGGTCTGCAGCCCTCACAGGGGAGTGCTGGTGTGCCTCTGGGCAGAGCCTGCCACCAGCCAGTCTTCTGGATGAGTGCTCCCTGGCTGGCCTTGGATGCACTGTGGCACCTCTCTGAGCTTGGTGCCCAGGGTCCTCGCTCGCATCTGGGGCTGGAAACTGTGTGGCTGTCTGCTCCATCCAAGGTTGAGGAATAGAAGCATGGAGGGGTCTGCCAGTCTGGCTGCTTCCACAGGAGCCCGGTGACAGCCATCAGGTTGGTTCCCCTGGGCATTTCCTGCTCCAGGCATCAGCCACCTCAGAGCTGCCACCATCCCTGGATCCATTTCCATTTTTAATAAGTCCTCTCCTTGAGTGTAGGGAGCTATGGTTCTCCTCCCTCCATCTTCTCTCAATTGTTTTCTTACTTTTAGGAACTCATTGTATTTTCTGGTCCATGGGCATTTCTTATTTTGCAATGTAGTTGTGGATTCCTTTTCTTTGTAAAA